TAGTATTTTTCTTATCTTTATTTTAGGTATATTTTACTACATTTATTCACTTTAACTCCGATTGATAAATTGATCGCTTCATGATTATTTATATTATTATGCTCGTGCTATCGTTACCATGATATCCAGTAAGTGTGTACGTGAAATCCATGTTGTTAAAAAATATTTTACTCATTTCATAATTGAAATATATATTGTATATTTCAAGGCCCACGTGTATTTAAAAATCTAAATATGTGAAAACAACAATCTTTCTAAAAGGAGGATAAGCCATGTCATCTACAATGGTAAGGACCATTGGATGAACTGGTAAATGAAAATGCACCATTAGATCATCAGGCTCATCTATGACTGTGGAAACACGTTGGACCAATCCAGATGCTTCTGGACTAAAGATCTCAAAAAGCACTGAACTCATGTGTTTAGTCTTTTTAACACTGTAGTTCAAAAAAATGTATTATACAATATATATATGTTTTCTTAATTAATCTTCTGACTAAATAAAGGAAAAAAAATATGAAGCCTTAGCTGTAAATTTGCATTGAATTTATATGCAAGTTTATATCTATAATGTACGAGAGTATACATGTAAATACTTTGTTATATTACTTTTGCTTGTTATTGGAGCAACACACAACATCTTAGTAGTATCCACTACATACCAATTTTATTTTAAATCAGTCCCTACGAACGCATACCCGCACACCCTACATTTAGGAGCACTTAATGTTATTGCTGGTTTCGTCCTAAAACATAACTACCTTTAACATTCAAAATTTATCATAAAATATTAGCTATTTCTATATCTACTCCTTTATCTTAACTAACAAAGTCATATCCTATTTAATTTCTTTGCCTACTTTTTAATGCCAATCAATTATAACGTTCATCCATTTACATCACTAGCTGATGCATCATTTTCAAAAATAAGTATTTCTATGATTCGAATTTTATATAAAAATATAAGCACTTCAGGACACTAATTTTAATGCATATCTAAGTATTTTTAGCCAATCAGACATTCGGAAAGAGCAATCAGAGAAGTTCAAAATTTGATAATAAGTGACTGAAAGAGATCATTCCACCTTAATCTTACTATTTACTAAACAAAGTAGAAATACTTATATATATAGAAATTAATGGAGTATATTTAAGAATGAAGAAATTAACATTATGAAACCGGTACGTTCAATTAATGTCATGATCAATGGCCTAATTATATAGGTAGGTTATGCTCATGCGCTTTTGCGCGACTAAGTGGCTAGCTAGTATATGTGTACTAGGTGTTGTGGCGTGCGCATACAGTTCAGTTCGTTTGATCTTGTATGTGTGTATATATATGCAGCGTTATGCAGCATTAAATCCATGTATTGGATATTTACTACATAGCGACATCTAACTACACTTTCAAAAAATCTTCTTCAAGTTCAGGATTCAACATTAACATTAAACACTTTTTTAAGTGAGCACATGAACCATAATTACTTCAACTCTTCAAGCTATTATGCCTCCATCCATGTTTTTCCGTAAGCTATGAAGACTTTCTCAAGACACACCATACAAAAAGATAAGGCAGCCAATAGTCTTGCAACAATTATAGTTGTAAAGGCATGGTTTGCTAAAAAGCATCATAATACCACCTATCATTGTGAAGCCAATATTTAAACATCAGCATAATGTCAAGCTATCCTTGTGAAACACATAATTAGCATGTCACAACATATTTCACTTGATCCAAGGTGTGTTTACATAACTTAAAAAGGTTCCAACTTTACATCCTTGCATTCAAATAGAAACATTTGGACCATATTTTGGTGGTGAATTAAGCTTAAAGTATCATAGCTAAAGCAGCCAAAAAGATGTTTTTGTCTAAGTCTCAAAAGTTCTTGCATCAGTAGATTGAGGAAGTGGAATGAGAGGATTAACTACACCAGGACAGGGCTATAGTAACACGGCTATGTGCTACTATATCCATAAAAAGGTGTTACTGAGATCTGTAGTAACACAAAATTTATGTGTTCTTATTGCCCATGTTACAGGCGTATAGTCTAGTAGCACATAATTAGTGTTCCAGCATATGAAAATAGGTGTTACAACCATTTCGCTAGTAGCACATGACTAGTGTTACAACATAAAAAAAAAGATGTTACAATCATTTCGTTGTAACACATATTACAGCCTCATATTGCACGGTGCAACACCTTGGCATAGGCCCTGTAACATATATTTTAGCCTAGTAACACAGTTTCTCTGTTTTTAACTACACTTTTTTATTACCAATAACGGTCTAAGTACCAATTTATTCTTGAATTGGATGCCTTTTGCATTTCCCATAATATAGAAAAACATATATTTATAACAATCACTTGTCTCAAATAACACAGATCAGCACGCATGAAACAAAATAAGTGTTATTTACATCAAGCCATATAACAAGTCTTAATAGTAAGTACCGTTTCTACATACAATATTAAAATGTGCATCTATTTCTCTATTCTTTGTAAAATTATTTGCCGTAGATCCATTGATGAGATAAACATCTGAATAATCATCATTTTTGCTCTAAGTTGAACTTGGTCATCTACTGCATGCGTATACACTTGCATTGTATAGTACAAGTCTTGAATGTGTGCAGTACCTGCAGTTCATCAAGATGAAGATATCTCTATTAGCCCATAAAATTCACATGAATTTTATATATGAATCATTCTCTTAAGAAAAAAATGTATATATGGAGCATTGGAGCATCAAACAAGGACCTCGCTACACATTGAGTTATGGAAGTATTGACATACACTCCTGTTGTGTTGCCACAGCCGTCGAGTTTGCCCGCTGCCTCCACGGCTCCGCGCTGCAAGCCGACGAGGAAGGCCACGGCTGCCCTCCGTCTCGCCACCACTCGTGGATGTGGCGATGTCATGTACTGATATGCCCTCCACTGCCTCAGCCGCTACTCTCTGCATCGCCATTTTTCACCTTGAGCCACAGAGCACGCCCAGGAAGATAGCCGAACTGCAGACTGCAGCAGAGAAAGGAAAAAGGATGAGGAGAGAAGAAGATGAGTGCTTCCTCTTGCCTGCTTCTCACCAGTTCAGACTGCAGCAGCGTGGATCTGGTGGGAGCAGCCGAGCAGGAGACGAGGAGTCTCACGAGAGGGGAAAAGTTCAGAGGAGAATTTTGAGATCTGATCTGGAAGACTAGAAGACGAGTTAGTTATAGGTCCTCTAATTGAGGTTTTGAGGGAGTTGGAGGGAAATTTTCGCGGTCACTACAAATATTTACGCGCCCAAAATTATTTGGACACAACTTTGTGCTCCAACAAAAATTACGTGTTTATGTTTACTGTAATAAGCAAACACACATTAAAAATTACAATGGTTTCAAGGTATAACCTCAATCAATAATTTTATAGAGTATTGATTATAAATAGAAGCTTATCAAATTTACTCTGAAATTTAATTTATTTTTTACGAAATCTCTACTATTTTGCCGGTATTTTGGTACGTTATCCATGTATGAGTCGGTTTTTATGTTCGTTTACTTTTGAAAATACATATCCGTATTTACTCCTAACTACAGCTCATGATTTTCTTAAAAAATATATATATACAAGCGAACTCCTGTAGCTCATTGTTTCATCGCACTTAACGCAACAACTTTGATTTTACCTTATCCCACCAATGCATGCCCACATAATGATTGCAACTGCCCCATGGCAAATCCACGTGAAAAACTAGATGTCACAACCCACCGATCATTCGTCGAGTAGCTACTTGCTAGTCAAACCCTCTCTCCACATAGAATTCCATATGATCAGAAGGAAGTTGGCTTAGAGGAAGAGGAGTTCCATGAAAGAGGAAAGTTTAGCGGGCAAAAATGGGTCAACGTCCCATCAACACCTTCCTCTACCCTTGTGCCTAGGTGCTAACACCAAACAAACCACTACTCCCTCCGTCCCAAAAAAAGGCAAACTCTGGGTTTCCGTGTCCAACGTTTGACTGTCCGTCTTATATGAAATTTTTTTATAATTAGTATTTTTATTATTGTTAGATAATAAAACATGATTAATACTTAATGCGTGACTTGTCTTTTTAATTTTTTCAAATAAGACGGACGGTCAAACGTTGGACACGTAAACCCATGGTTTGTCTTTTTTTTTTGGGACGGAGGGAGTAAGTGGGCAGGTCAGGCCCACTCCGTGTACACCTTTGGATGCCACGCTTTTGAGCGCTCAATTGCCTCGTCGCAACTATCGCCCACCAGCACTACCTTGGGGTTATCGCTAGATGTAACGACGTGGCCCCATCCATCGGTCATATCAAGTAGCATCGCCACTAGCGATAAGAGGCATCGCCTAGATGACACTAAACCTGAGGAACTCATTGAGAGAGTTAAGTTTAGCTCTTGTGGTGCATCAAGGGTGGATGCGATGTCGGCAACCGGTGGCAGTGAAGGAGGATGATGAGCAACGATGGGGGCAGCGAGAGAAGACGACTCGATCGACGTGCGGATGGGTTTAGGGCGCGCACTACCGGCGTCCCATTCCCCTCCCCCCTAGCACATGCCGCCATCCTCCCTCGGCGACGATGACGTCTTCTTGTCGCCGCTGCTCGCCACGGCCACCTACGAGTCGGTGAGCACCTGAAAGTTGAAAGTTGTCAAATCTTGACTTGAATTTTTTTAAATCTGAACTGAAAGTTTTGAAATCCAAGTTTAAAGTTCCAAATCTGGATTTGAAAGTTTTCAAATCTAAGTTGAAAACTTTTAATATCTAAGTTGAAAGTTTTTCAAATTTAGAGTTAAAAAGTTTTCAAATCTAGGTTAAAAAGTTTCTAAATCTTGATAAAATCTGATTTGAAAGTCTGTTTCAGTCAGCTTAAAAAAAAGGAGAAAAACACTTGCATAAAGAATTTTTATCCCTAAAGAAAAATGAAAAAAAAGAAACACACATGGTTTTTATTTTTTATTTTTTGTCGTGATACCTGTTCCTTTATAGTCCACCCTGTGCCCGCGACTTATTCTGAAAAACCAAATGTCCCTTCTGTATCGGTGGCGCCAAATCCACCTCCTGGCGGCAATTTACCCGCGCCAATTTTCATTGACGCGCGAAATCTTGGCACCGCGCCGAATGCCGAATCCCTCTCGTGGCGCGCCCAATCTCTCATCAAATATCTCCTAGTGCCAATGATCTCCCCCACCCCTTCACCTCCCCTGAATCCACGCAAGTAATAGGCAGAGGATTGAGGAACCAGTACAGAACTCCAGGGCCAAGCCAGCGCCCGCCGCCTAGGAGAGCGTCGAGCCCGGTGGCCGGCAGGAGGGCGGGGCGCCTGCAGCAGCACGGCCGTGAGGCATGGAGACCCCGGCAGCCGGCGGGAGCGGCGCTGCTCCAGGGCGGCCGACTGGACAACGGGGCACGGTGGCTGCGGCCGCGAGGCATAGAGCAGGCTGCTCCGCGGCAGCCGATCCGACAGGAGTCTGGACAACGGCTTGGTGAGTGAATCAGTGAATGAAATCAATGAAATCCTATTTTCCAACCCATACGTAGTGTCACCATAAGCCTTAATGTTTGATCCCCTTCCTGTTGCAGGGCGAAGCCAGCCATGGAGCGACCTGGCTGGATTTCTCGGCAGAGCTGGAGACCTGGGGGGCAGCGGTAAGCAGGCAGGATGTTAGGACTACCTCGATGGCCAATGGTGGGAAGCACAGCAGGCGGTAGTAAGCGGTGATTTTTTGTTTCCTTCTGTGTCGATCTGTTGCACATAAATCAAATTTCACACTTTTCTGGTTGCTTAAACTTACTGTATGAATCTGCAACTATTAATGTTATGAAAATTTATTTATTATTTGTTTGAAACATTCCTTAAATGTTGATTTTGTAGGTTAAGACTTTATCTCACCGATACGAAATTCTTGAATTTTTACCTGACCAATGTCTCTTGAACTGAATGTTATGATGGACTATAGACTATAAATATTTTCTGACATGTTGGACATATCCAATATATGCATAATACTGTACTAAGTACTGAATATGCCCAAAGTATATAAAATTGAATGGTTACATGGACATAACGACTGGCAGTATTTACTAAGCACAGACATATCGAGGTCTGAATGAGCATATTTATCTAGTGTCCATGTTTCACCTTCGTAATTGGGATCTTTTTAATATTCACTTTGTTCTAAAGTATGTCAATGTGAGGACATATATTTCCTTGTATACATGTATCCTTACTGATGATTAATTTATGACTTCATCAGCAGGGAAAATATATGGTTGCTAGTTTTCTAAGCAGTCACTGTTGTGCTTGTTCTTAAGTATGCTGTTACAGTAGTCTACAGAACTATTTGGTGATGATTCCACTCCTTATGCGCATACTATACATGTAAACTTTTGATGGTCATGCCTTGTCTTAAAAGGTAGATATTTGTCATGGAAGCACTTGTTTCATCTTTTCTACGGCATTGGTGTGTTTGTTCTGTTTGCAGATTTTTTTAGTAATGAAAACCACTGTGGATGTTGTTAGTTTAATTTTAAACACTAATCTTGAGATCACCCTTCTCTCTGAAGATGTTGATTTTGTTTGCAGGCATCAGAAGTGAGCCTAAATTTATGTTTCTGTCTGGAGGCATGTTCTTGATAAGAACGAACACATTGATGGTTTTTGTGTTTTTCATACTATTTTTCAATCTATTGCTATATAGTATATGAATCCATATTTTCTAGCATTACAGATATCCATATTTTCTCAAAAGCTCTGTTATGTTTCCTAAAAATTGTTTTTTATTGCGATATCTATATCCATGTCAACTGAACAATAACTAGGTTTTCATTCAGGACTAAATATATATACTAGTTTGTTGCATACTATTTTTTAGCTAGATATAATAGCTGCACTGGCATTGTTGAAATAATATCTGTTAAAATAATTAGTTTTTTATTTCAGTATTGGGTATATATTTGGGGCAAGGCACCTTGCAAGTGCATCATTGCTCGTTCATGTAAATTGTTGTTTTAGATTTGTAAAAAAATAGTACTTTTTAGTGAGTCACAAAAGAATTTATTTGTATTATTATCCAACATTCGGTATTATATTCTAAAACATGTATTTTAATGCATTGTTGGTTCACTTTAACTTTTTAGTACAAATTTAAATGCGCAGAAGATCCAATTCAACATAATCAATGGTTGAAATAACATTCTAAAATTTGAATTATTATTCAGTGTAACATTATGGAGTTGCAAGGATTCAAGGATCTCTGTCATGAAGTTATTTAATGCAATATTTGTCAAATGTCATGCTCAGCTTTTTATCTGTTGTGAAGTCACATAATTTCTTTTCACTTGTCCAAAGCAGTTAATGGCTTAAAAATTGTAATAGTTAGTTCTGTTGCAGATTGCCTATTTTTGTGTTACATGCATGTGTTTACAGCATCAAGCTCTGTCCACGCCTACTAATGATGTGTTACACGCATGTCTGCAACACATGGAGTGGTGTTACTAGTCATTTCTCTGGAACACATGTTCTTGTGTTGCAGGCTTATGATACAATAGCTCGGTTCTGTAGTAGTTATATCTCTTCTAAAACTATGGAATATGTTTCAGAACAATAATCTAGAACGGTGTAGCCAATTTGAGGAATGTGATCCTAGTTTGACTCCCTAGATTTTGCTCCTTTTTATTTCTTTCGATCCACAACAAATAGTGCGATAGCAGATGGCTCGATGCGACGACTGGATATTAATTTCATCCCAAAATGACACCACCCTAGATGATAAGAAATGCATGCACAATCAGAATATAAGTATAAGTGAATATAAACAACCAAGTGAACATATATAAATAACGGCTAGTAAGTCTAGCAAATAGAGAGTTAGTTCACCTAAGGATTATACTAAAAGCATTTCAGTAGGTCCATGCTAACCATATTGGAAAATAGAGCATATACGACCATATATAATTGTGGCAAATAGAGTTTTATGAATTTAATTAGGTAATAATAGTAACACTTTATTTAACCAAAAGTGCAAGCGGCTACCCGAGGCTAAAATTAGAACTGACATCTTTTTGTGAAACTTTTGTCCTAAATGCAATGTTGTATGTATAGACATTCATCTCTATTAGTATATAAACCTTTCACTAATGCAGTTTAATGTTCACTTGTGTCACAAGATTTTCTAAACTTGAAAAGAAAAAGGAACTTGAAGAAAGCAAGGATTATACAATGGAAGTGACAGAACAAACCATGTGATTATATCCAATACCGACTCAATAGAAGCCCAGATATACTTAGAAGAGTACACAGTTACGTGTCGAAATATGCTTCTGACTCTTTGAAATCTCGAAAAAAAACATAACTTGTATGCCTGCAGAACGCAAAGACATGAGTAACACTGCTGGAGAAACTATCTGTACTTCTGATTGGTAACCCACTTTAGTCCCGGGTTTTTAACCGGGAGCAGTAATCCATGACTATAAATGATGTCTCGGTTGATAACACCAATCGAGACTAAAGATGGGTAGACCACGTGGCGGGTTAGCCATCTTTAGTCCCAGATGGTGTTACCAACCGGGGCTAAAGATATATTTTTTTTCTCGATACTGCCTGCTGCATGCATGCAAACTCTCTATATTTCATGCATATATACATATATGTCCCACTACATATATATATATATATATGCATATTATTTATATATTATGTATAGATATATATGTATTTATACATATATGTATGCATGCAACAGATCCATATATACACACACACACAACTCCCAAACACCCCCACCCTGCTGTGCTTCAGGAGACCTCGTCTCCAATCTGCTTCGACTGCACCTGCGGATTTGAAGGGCACTGAATCAGACGACCACCCTCTCCGACGAAGGTGTGACGCGGCATGGTGGCGATCCCAGACGGGCAGACGGTGACCCAGCGTGTGGACAGGTCCGGCCATCGTCGCCCCATATCAGCGATCCCGTCGGCACGGTGGCGAGGAGGCGCGCCAACAACCTCCAACCAGCTGTAGGGCGATGGATGGATCTGGAGAGGTCTCGTCGCCGGAAGACGTCCACCACGCCGGTGCCGATGGATGGCTTCCAAGCCACGGACCGACGAACGTGCGGCTTTGATGGCAACGGGTTTTGTTCGCCAGCGTCTTCTAACCATCATTCTCAGAAGGTTGGTAGCTCACGCAAGTAAGGCAGACCAGACCAGATGCGATCTGCAAAGTTTGGTTGGAACACGTCTTCTCTGATGCATTTGTGTTCTTTGCTCTTCAGAGAAAATCGTTCTTTGTTTTTGTGGGGCTAGATTTGATCTATTTTATTTCATGTATTTCGAGCTCTCAATTCGTTATATAAGCCAGCATCCTGATGATATTTGGTTTGATAGGCTAGTAGGTTCTGCGCTTCTGTAAACAGCGTTCAATTGTGCAGTTGTCATCCTGTAATTTTTTATACATCTCTTGTTGTGATCCTTTTAATTTGATTTCAAAATTGAGAACATAAACCATAGTTGCACATTATTTTCTCGATAGACATCCGATGTTTCTCACTACATATGCTCAGCAGCTCAGGTGTCACACAACCATCGCCTCCTGGATCCTGGTGGTTTGCCGCGGTTCGCGCACAAATTTAGCCGCTACTTGGACGACTGCGGCTCGTCGGCCGCGGGAAATTATATGGTGGAAACATACGATATATAGATTAAAACTTGGAAACTATCATTAGATCGAAAAATAAACGTCTAAGATTTGTCCATGTCATCACGAGTAAAAATTTTACTTATGGTGATGTGGACGAATCTCGAACGTCCATTTTTCGATCCAACGATAGTTTCTAAGTTTCTATTACATACGTGGTTTGCGCTACATATTTTCCTGTCAGCCGCTAGTATCAACATCTGTGCCTCCACTTGTCCGGCCGTGTCCTCACGGGACATTATAGGGTGAAAACTATATATATGTTGTAAAAACCTAAAAATTACCGTTGAATAAAAAATGGACATATAAGATTTGTCCACATCATCACGACTAAAAATTTTACTCGTGGATTTACTCGTGAGTAAAGTAAAATTTTTACTTATGGTGATGTGGACGAATATCAAACGTCTATTTTTTTTATATAATAATAGTTTTTAGGTTTGAACAACATATTTTGCGCTACATATTTTCCCGTTAGCCGCTAGTATCAACATCTGTGCCTCCACTTGTCCGGCCGTGTCCTCACGGGAAATTATAGGGTGAAAACTATATATGTTGTAAAAGGCTAAAAATTATCGTTGAATAAAAAATGGACGTATGGGATTTATCCACGTCAATCACGACTAAAAATTTTACTCGTGGATTTACTCGTGAGTAAAAATTTTACTTATGGTGATGTGGACGGATATCAAACGTCTATTTTTTTTATATAATAATAGTTTTCAGGTTTGCACTGCATATTTTCAATTGTCCTCACCGCTGGCGAACAAACCGGCATAGATAGATGCCAACGACCTGCTAAATCTTGCCTTACTTTTTTTTTTGCTGATTGTAAAATTTTGTAACTACCATGTAAAAAGTAATTTTTTTTACTCAGATTGATTTAATGCAACAATACGAATGGTAAAAAAATTATTCATGTAACTACAAAATTTTTACATGAGAAAAATTTACTACCTTTTACTCCGATACTTTCAGTAATTTTTTTACTCAGATTGATTTTTTTTCGGTGGAAGGACCAGACATGGATAGCATGAATCGATGCCATAGATGCAGTCGGGAAGAGCGGAGATGGATTGCAATTGATGAGAACGGAAAAAGCGGGAGAGTAATTTTTTCACTCGGGAACCAGGGGACCAGACGGGTGCATACGTGGGGAGGGGAGATGAAAACGAGAAAAACGGAGGCAAGGAGGGCGACGCGCCCTGTTACTCGCGTTAGGAAGCTAGATGGCGCGTAGGATTCTGTGTGTGGCTTCACGTAGCGTAACCGCGTGTGTATATATATATATATATACCCATATGGAACTTTATGATGCTCGGGCTCAAATGTATAAAACACATAAATTCTCTCAAATTTTTAAAAGTTTTCAAATTGTGAGTATATACTAGGTATATTATGAATTTGATTCATACTAATACCTAAAAGCAAAATAACTAAAACTCAATTTTATTTCACAATTCATTATTACATACCTAACGAATTATATGTTTGGATGTTATATACCTAGAACCAAAATATAATAAAAAAAAGTTCAAACTCAGTTCAAACTTGTTTGAACTTGTTAGTAAAGAAGTTAATGTTCATACCTAAATATTTTAAAAAAATTCATACTCATTCAAATTGGGTATATACTCAATTTAAATCTTGGAGCCCATACTCTATGTAGCACCAGTTAATATATATATATATATATACACGTACATACGGTGACGCTACACAGTGCCACCCACAGGCGCTGCACGCCACGAAACAAAATGGCGCCAGACACAAACAAGGAGAGGTCAACCCACCACCGACAAAATCCCACCAACGAGGCATCCAACCCACCCGCGGAGTTAAAATTTAACTTAGATACAATTGGTGGTGGTGGTGCGGTGATATCTTTGAGGAGTTAATATTATGCGATGATTCAGTTAGTCTGAGTTAAAGTTTAACTTAGATACAGTTGGGTGGTGGGGTAAAACCAGCAGAGTTAAATTTTAACTTAGATACAGTTAGGTGGCGGGTGCGATGATGTCGTTGAGGAGTTAATATTATGCATGGTTTCAGTTGATATGAGTTAAAGTTTAACTTACGTACAATTGGGTGGTGGGATGCAATGACATGGTTTTGGAGTTAAAAAATTACTTGTTGTTGTTCAATTCTGGATGATATGTGATTGAATCTGGTCGCTGCTGAGTTAAAAATTAACTCGCGATACAAAACTGCAGGACATCGTAGTAGAGTTAATTCAGTTTGTATGAGTTAAAATTTAACTTGTGTACAACAAGATTTTAACTCAACATATACATCCTCACAATCTATAAGCGTAAGTTAAATTTTTGTCGGCACTTGCTTCGGACATCAACGGCGGAGCATCATGGAGGTGTTTGCCGCTGCTCCTCCATGTCCTTCGGTGTTCGAACTCGCTGCCGCGGAGGTCGCCGCCGTGTGCGTGGGGCGCGGAGCGGCGGCCCGATCCGCTGCCGCCTCAGCTGTCGCCCGCAGTCGCCCACCATGGGATCCGCCGTCGAGCCGCCTGCATCCACGCCTGACACGCACCACCGCAGCCGTATCCGTGTACGTGGGGTGCGGAGCGGCGGCCGGATGCGCCGCCCCCTCGCCTCGCCATGCCATGTTAGATCCGCCGATGCCGCGCCTTCCCATGCAGGATTATCCCTGTATCCGTCATCGCGCCGGATACGCCCTACCATGGTCAGATCCACGCGCGTGGGGCACAGATCGGCGGCCGGGTG